CGCCGCCGCCGCCGCCGCCGCCGCCGCCGCCGCCGCCGCCGCCGCCGCCGCCGCCGCCGCCGCCGCCGCCGCCGCCGCCGCCGCCGCCGCCGCCGCCGCCGCCGCCGCCGCCGCCGCCGCGATGCTCCTGCGGCTCCGCCTGCCGGGGACGCGCGGCCGCCGGGGCCGGGGCCTTCAAGGGGCGGGGCCTTCAAGGGGCGGGGCCTTCAAGGGGCGGGGCCTTCAAGGGGCGGGGCTGACGCCCGGGGCGTCCCTGTGGCTGCTGCGCTCCGGCGCCCCCCTTGCCGCCCAGTGGGGAGGGACCCAGCTCCGCGAGGCCGCCCTCCAACCTCGGCGGCTCGTCTAACGCCCCGGGAAATGACGCGAGACTCCTCGAGACCAGAGGAGGGGAGGGAGAGGAGAGAGGGGAGAGAGGGGAGGGCGCATCCGAGTGTAGTGGCACGTGGGAAAGGAGGTGGAAGGAGCCGACCCCGAAGGTGCGATGTGAGGTGGAGGACAGGCTCGGGGAGGAGAAACCATGGGAAGGTGAGGGGTCGAACACCTGCTGAGTGTGCTAACAGGTAACCCCGGGGTGTCGAGGCAACCCAGAAGAAGGCTTCACAGAGGGGGCTGTTGGGAAGGAGAAGGAGGGGTTCATCCCAGGGAGGGAGAGAAACGCTATTTCCCTTCAGTGCAGCGTGGGAACGGCAGGCCAGGTGCGAGTTCGGCTTGTAGGAGGTGGTGGGATGGAGATGCAGAAAGAGAAACGAAGCCGGTGGGCTGCATCGCCCCACACCGACCCTCATAGGGACCCCTAACCCCGCACCCGAATGCCTGGGTCAGGTGGGGTTCATTGCTGAGCAATGTTCCCGGGCTCTCATGTTCCGAGGAATCCACTGAGGCAGTTCCTCCCCAACAGGCATCACTGTGCCATATTGACCCCCAGACCTGGGCTGGCTACCCTTGAGTGGGCACTAAAATGAAAACGGAATTCGTGGTAATTCACGGGTAACTCACAAGCTCCTTTTGGGGTCCATTCACTACCACACTTTTCACCATACTCTGACAGCCACCACATTCATTTACCGTCTCGTTATTTCCTTTTCCCTTTCCACCATCTGGTGGTAGGAAGAGATAGTGAAATAGATGGGAGACATTCAGGAAGAGAGAAAATAAAGACAATAAAGAAATTAAATTTTTTAAAGAAATTAAATTATTAGCTCCTGAAAAATGGAGGAGGCTGAAGGTTAGTGGATCCACAAGTGACAAATAAAAGCTGACCCCTTACCCAATATACGCTGTCTCCATGCCTCACCTATAATGTTGGGGCAACTCTTGTAAATTGGTTACATTCTGGGATTTCTGCAGAAAGATGTACTTATAATTGTTTCATTAGCTTAAAAAAATACTCAAAGTCAGGGTCTTTACGAACAAGAGATCAGTAGCATCATCTTTCTAAATACTTTGTGTGTGTGTCAGAGCAATCTAAACAAGAGACTAATCAAGGGGCAGAAGACCGACCCATCCAACACAGCTCCGGAGAAAGCGGTAGTGACATCACCGACAGACTTCTATGGAAGGGATTAAAGAACATGGAAATTAAGAGTTGAAGGCACAGATGAATACTCAGCTAGACTTGCTCCAGGCGCCATGGCATCTCACTCATTACATGCCTTGCATATCAGGGCGATGAGACCTTGTGATATGATCTTAGAGCTGACAAACACTGAAGCTCATAGAGCCTGGCTAAGGCCCACTGTTACTGGGACTTCTGTTCCTTGAACCTCACCCTAAAACAGCAAACTGGTGGCTGAACTCTGTAGGGCAAAAAAAAAAAAAAAAAAAAACCACATCAGCAGTGTGTCTTATGTCCTGTCTTAATCTGATTCACCTCTGTCCTAGTTGGAGAAGACCATCTTCTTTACTTGTTCTCCCAGCTTCAGACCGGCAAACACAGACGACCTGAACTTTTGTGTCTTGTTTTGGCTCTGGTCTATTTCAGAACATATGTTTTCCTTCTTGACCCAGGTCCCCTTTC